GCATGCTTGCAAGGGTGTTTGCAGATGGATGTGGAATAGACAAGAAAGAGCAGGAGCTTCTGAGAAGTCTTTATTGAGAAAGTTTATCTTGCACATTTCTCATAGAGCTGGAGGCAACATTCTTCTATTGTTATAAAATTCATGAAGGTTACCATATGCTAATTTTTTCCTCATAAAAATTTTAATTATAGATGTCCTGAGACAATAGGTATACACATACACACAAATAAACATGCAGCATATACAGGTAAAATGGCTATGACTAGATGTGTATGCCTATGTATGTGTTTAAGCCATATTTCAGTGTCCTGTTTAACACTTTGAAAAGGGATCACAGCCCCTTAAGGACACTCTGCTGCTGCATGGCATCGTAAACAAAATGGCTCTGGAGTTCAGCTTAGTGGTGACATTTTGGTTATAATGCCAATAAACAAGAAACCCCCCTGTGGCACATTGACTGACTTTGCCTCATCAAAGCAGGGAGAAACTGCAGTCTGCTTACAGGGTTACAGTGTTGCTTTCTCCACCTTACTAATTAAAATAAGGATTTTTAGCTAGATTAAATATGTCTGGGTTTGCAACTCTACACTACATTGCACGCTTTTGCTTTACATCTTTACCTTGTTGGTTTTTTTCTTTAGCTCAATTGCTGGAGGCAGGCTTTAACATAAATGAAATTTACTCTGAGTCAGAGGCTTTGGGATTTGTGTGTGTGTGTATTTTTAATAATATGTGTGATAGAAAGCTTTTGGTGCAAAGTAGGATTTTTGTGGGTCTGATGAAGAAGGCTGCTGATGTGCTGCCACGCCAGGTAAATTTGTTGAATTATCTACTTGGAAAGACAAGCTGATAAAAATGAGGAAGCTGGGACTTCATGGCCTGTTTCTGCCGTGAATACATCTTCATTAAACGTACAGTCATCCATCGTCTCTGGCTCAGCATGATACCCTGGGCTGACTAACAAGATGGGTCATTTCAGGAGTTCCCTGGTGTCATGGCAAGGGAGAAGATGACATAAAATGGAGTCACATCTTTAGAGCTAATACCAGGTGCACTGGTCTAATCCCAGCTTGGGTGACTGCTTCCCACTCCTTGTCAAAGCAGTGAAATGCTTTGGTGTCACTTTGGGAATGTGTCTGATGATGCTGATGGTCCCTCTGACAGGGAAAACTGAGCAGAATAGGCTGTGCTGGTTGGCAACAGTATCTTCTTTTGAAGCAGGATTGTGCTGGCAAAAAGTCAATCTTCTTGCTGTAGACTGAGCCAACTCGTGACCACTGGATCCTGAAGAATCGATTGAAATTTGCAGAACAGCAGCCAGTCCTCTGCAGAAGAAAACTATTTCTTCTCAGTTTGCTGTAGAGCAAGCAGGCTGGGACAACTCCGGATTGTGGCTGGGACAGCAGCTGGGTAAATTTAGGGGAAAGCACCACTCGCCCCCCACCGTCCACTGAATTAATGGCTGAGAGGCTTAGGGATGCAGAGACTTATTGTCATGGCCAAGCCTGAAGGCAGATGTGTGAGCTCCTTGGAGCTCCCCTGGAAAACAAATCTGAGACAGGAAGGGCGGTTCTAAAAATAATGTGGAGTTTTATTTACACAATTTTTACAGCAGGTATTCACAGAGGTGCTGAAATTCTCTTTGGTATGCCTGAAATTTGACTGTAACCCTCAATCTGAGTCTCCCAGTGTGCCCTACATACACAAGATGAATGTGCCCTCATCTCTCCACCACCGGCTTGTCTTAGTTTCTATGTCATAAACCAATGAAGCTGGCTGACATTATGGATTCGGTCCTACAAACACCTCCTGAATTCCATGGGAATTTTGCAATGGAAAAGGTCACATAAAAAGCTTTGGTACTGGCCTAGACCTGATCTGAAGACATGTGCATTACTCTTACTGGTGAAGGCTTAACAGCATGGAGTTATGGATAGATCTAATGGATCTTTCTTCACCTCCTCAAGAAGTAGTGCCTCACAGCATGTTTATGACTTTTAAGTTCTATTCATCTCAAGAACATGTAACTCTGGCAAGAGGTATGTTGTGGTTGCAGCCAGGAACGAGGACGGAGGGGAGTGTGAGGGAAGACAGTTTAGGACAAGCCAAAGAAACCCATCTGACACATGCCGTAATGGGCTGGCTTATGCCTATCCAGTGGGTGTAGGATTTCAGGTAGCTTTTTCTCCAACATCATCTGTACAGCCACCAATGGAAATAAAAGTTTACTGACTTCTACTTTGGACAAAATAGTGTTAACTTACTTCCAATAGGCATCGAACAGATCAGCTTCCCCTCTTTGAATTACTGTTACACTGCTGATTTTCACTGCTGACTTATGATTTTCTTGGCAATGTTAGGATGCCTTCTCCCAGCCGGCCCCATTAAGTTCTCAGACATTTTAATTTTAAGGATTTTAGGCAGTTTTAAGGAATGCACATGCATTTTACTTGTTTCCAAAAAATCCCTCCCAAAACATAGATCCATCTTCTGGGGTATTAATTTATGCACTACAACTGAAAAATACTTTGAATACAATGCACACATCAGTCAACCCTACAGGTCTTGCAGCATGTTCTATGCTGTATCTGGTAGCTGGCTATTTATAAGGTATCTGCATGTAACACACATTGCACAGCTTCTCTGTCTTTTGAATATCAGTGGAGTATTGTCAAAGCCAAAATTTTTCTTTATTAATTTGTGCTGATTTTTCCCCCAGGGCATTTCTGGTTTCTTATGTGTAGAGATAAAAGTACCTGCTATAAGCAATGCATTTTTGGTGGTAGTTTCAAATGTACCTTGTGACTGACTTAGATTTACTCTTGTTATTGCTGTTTCAAAATTAATTGAAATCAACTGATTTTTGTAAATTATTTTTCTCATCCTGGGGTAAAATGTCAGAAATTATAGAAATGCCAACCTGTGAATACAGACTTCTGCTGATGAGAAGTATCCAGGTTTCTCTTTTAATGTTTTGCTGACATATGGTGCTTCTAATCCAGTGACAAATTAATTGACTAGATGTAAAAGAGATGGACAGCGCTTAGCAAGGAAGAACAGGATATGCATTATAAGACAGCTGGTTCTGCCTCTGTTGGATTATGGAGACAATATACATCGGACAGCTAACGAGTCTCTGTTGCTGTCCGACAATAAGATAGATACTCCTTATAATAGAATTGCACACTTTGTCTCTAAATGAGGTTATTATACACACCATTGCACAATGTTTGAAGAGCTTGGTTGGCCCTTGTAGAGGTTTAGGAGAGAAATAAATTGGAAAACAATTGCACATAAGACCTTCAATCCATCAACTGCTCCGTATTTATCCAGATTACCATTACACTCTTCCAAAATACAAATCTGTGATACATTCAGGGGTGGAATGTTAATACTGACCAGCCAGATTTTGACAGGGCCAATTTTTCTTTTGCTGTTGTTTTTAACTTGCAGTATAATCTTGTTTCCTCTGAAAGAAAGGGTGGTAGTGGAAACCACTTGTAGTGACATAACAACTCTCTGCTGAGAATGAATTCTCAATATAATTTTTGCCACTATGCAAACTTCAGTCTGGGTCTCAGACTGTGAACAACTTCATTTATAAGGAACTTTTCCTCAGTAATATTCAGACTTCAAGGGCAATGCTTGAAGAAGTAATTTATGATTTGAAGCGCTTCCATTTTTTGGGTCCCAGCTTGTGACCATTATAATGCTTAGTTTTAGGAACATGCTGAGGTCTGAAACCTTCAGACTCCTTATGCTCTTGAAGACTGGACACCTGGAATTTTACATCTTCAAAGTAACAAGACACTTCTGAAAAACCTGGCTTAACCACTGAGCAAGGCCACATGTAGCAATTCTAGATGATGTGGTGGCATCTTTCCCCACATCCCTCATGGAAGAATTCTGTGGTAAGAGTTATAGACGGAGCGTATAAAAAAGACAGTAAAATGCGGTTTTGTCGAAGCCAGAGTAAATAATCACCTATCCTACCTCCTACTTGCCATTTTTGTCTGGATCAGTTAAATTGTTTGTCTGCAAGTCTGACTTCCAGTCAAATAACCCTCCTTTTTAATTCCAGCCCTCCAGGTACCAGACAAGGATGGGATCTTGCTAAATAATGTTAAATAATCATCTTAGTCTGACAGAGCAGATACTAAAAATCTTGTAATGTTCAAAGCTATAAAGGTGGCTTTGTTCAGAGCTTTATTCCTCAGACTTAAAACAAGTACATCCTCAAAACACAGCTGAAGCAGCATTTCAGTACAGAGAGCTATAAGTGTGTCCATGGTGTGGTTTCTGTTCGGGCATTGCTATATCAAACTCCCACAAGTATACTGTTCCAACGTGAAGGAAGAGGAGACACGTGACAAAGAAAAATTACTTGGTGGTAATTGTGTTAGTCATAGTCGTTGCTGTTTATACTTTCCCTTTCCCAGGGCCCCTGCAGTTAAAATGAAAGATGTTATACATATACATATATATATGTCTGTGTGTGTGCGCGCGTGTGTGTACATGTGCTTCACAGGATTTCCGTTGGAAGAAGTTATTCTTTTGTACAGTTCTTCCCTGACATTTCTATAGCTTGCTTACACTCTATTTGGTGAAGCTATGATCTTTTTTGTAAGGCAATGATGTGGCTCATAAGAAGAGAGATTGCAATACGCACAGTTACTAGTAATTAATTTCCCACCCCTGGATACTCTTCCAGTGACTGTTTTGTATTCTCTATGGCAGAGAGTGCTCACTGATGACAGTGTTTAAGTGTATTTCATTTGTGGCTCAAAGTAGTTGGATGTTTCTCTTAATGAGCTCTCCCACTGCTATCACAACAACTTTAAATACCTTATGGCTAGTGAGAAAGACTGACACACAGGCAGATTTGTTTCTGCAAATGTCTTCCTGACTAACTCGCATTTTTCAGTGAGGTTTATTTCATCACACGTTGTGCTGATTCTATAGCAATTTTAAAAGACCTTTTCCTCTTCCCTTTTTCTTAGGAAAAGGAGAAACTGTATGTGGAACTGAAGCACATCTTGGCCCGGCGGCCTGGGCCTGAAGCCGCAGAACAGTTGCAGCTCTACCGGCACACTCTCCAAGAGAAGACTAAGCAGCTGAAAGTAAGAGATGCCCTCTGTCTCTGGCTGGGGGCTGCCAGGCTTGCAGAACAACTTCACCACTGATGCTGGGGAGCAGGGTCTCAGGAAGGTTTTTGATGAACAGTGTGCATGCCTTAGTATATAAGATCAGGAGAATAAGGTTAATGCTCATATCCCCAAGGAAAAAACAATAGCAGTAGAGGAAATTTTTTCCACATTATGCTAGTTTGTTTCATTCAAATAGAGGAAAAGTCCTATTAGAATATGAGTGTGCAGCTCAATTCTGTAAATGCTTTATGAGCATGGGCATTCTGGGACATATCAGTTTTCCATTAAGCTTATTTGCCTTCCCTTTTCTTAAACTTTTAAGATCTTTAATAAGCAAACCAAAGCCATTTAGTTTTCCTTTTAAAAAACTAGTAGGAATATATTTGGAATCCAATCTTAAACTCATGCGTTTCTCTTGCAATGTGCATATGCATATTAGGCTTGCAACTTTTAAAGGGATGATAGGAGTAACCTCTCCTAACCCTTTGTCATTAGAAGAGAGGATTTCCTGCTGCAGGAATCTTGTGGGAACCTTTGAAAGCATGATATTAAAAAGTGATTTTTTGATAGAATAAGCTGATCTTCCCTTGTTCCTGCCTGCATGAAATATCAGTCTCCCCAGGAGTTCATCTACTTCTACTGCTCGTCTCTTTGTTGAAGTCATCATCTCCTGTTCACTGCATCATAATCACGTCTATACTAACCATGAGTAAAAAAATGCAGGAGCAGATGGGCCCTTAGGAAACAAAGAGGCTGTTATGCAAATCTTAACTTTCCATGGAGAAGAAAAACAATGTAGAAAATGTAAAATAGAAGCCAAAGTTTTGCTAAACTGAATGTGATTTCAAGTTTTCCATACAGTTCCCATTTGTCCTTAATGCAGTCAATTGCTACTGTGTATTTCAGGCACAGTATGCTCTAGCGTTCTGGCATGCATGCCATTTTGCAGTGCCAGGTCAAGCTATTCTCCTTCTTAAAGAAGGAAAACACACTGTACATGTTCCTACTTTCTTTAAAGTTTACTGACTCATATGAAAGTGGCATTGTATTCATATTTGCACTACCTAGTACTACTTTGCCTGTGTGCATTGAATTACTTCACATAATAAAGTCGATACCTGTGAATAAAACCAATTATTATTATTATTAAATAAATCCTTGCTTTATTGTTAAGACATTCAGTTAAGGTTTTCACCCAGATTTGTATGCCAGAACATTAAGAGCTAATGTATGTATTAATACCATACCCCTAATGCTTGGAGCATATTTTACGTGTTTTATTGTTGTTAAATGGCATAGCCTTAATTTTGTAAATTATCCTTAGGTGAGAGGAGGTGATCAAATGAAATATCATGATAGAAAATGAGATGTGGTACAGAATGGTGATTTCTTATATTGTCAGATGTGAAAGGAAAAAGTGCTTGTAAAAGTACTAACTTATCTGTAAGTGAAACTAACGGCTCCTGTTCCTGCTTTTTGCCTTTTGTTTGTTAGGTTTTGTCCTCAGAGTTGAATATGTATGAATCAGAGAACCAGGAATACAAACATGAAATTGAAAGACTTGGCAATGAGCTTATGAATGTGAAAAAGAAATATCTGGCTCAGAAACGCAAGGAACAACAGGCCAAGTATGGGAAAATAACAGTTTTGTCTACACAACTTTTGCATAAACTAGATTTTTATTTAGATCCTGCTTTACCCTTCTGATTGGAACATGGCCAAATTTGGCTGAGGTGATACAATATTGTTGCCTAATTTTCCTGAATGTTATCCTTCATATTACTTCAGTCTGGTCTAGATTTATCATGATCTATAGCCTGGACAAGAATGTCCAGGAGAGATGTTGCTGACCTGTTCTGCAGTCCAGCTAAATTATTCATACCAATGGTGCCCAGAGGGCACAGGTTAGTGTCTGGTCTCCAATACTGAATCATAGAATTGTAGAATAGTTTGGGTTTTAAAGGTCGTTTTTAACCCAGTCTCTCCTGCAGTGAACAGGGATATCTTCAACTAGACCCTGTTGCTCAGAGCCCCATCCAGCCTGACCTTGAACGTTTCCAGAGATGGGGCATCTACCACTTCTCTGGGCAACTTGTTCCAGTCCTCATTGTAAAAAATTTCTTCCTCATCTCTTACTCTAAAGCTACCCTCTTTTCGTTTAAAACCATTACCCCTTGTACTTGTTTAGCAAGAGCCTTGTTTAGCTCTGCTAAAAAGTTTGTCTCCATCTTTCTTATAAGCCCCCTTTAAGTACTGAAAAGCTGCAGTAAGGTCTCCCCAAAGCCTTCTTTTCTCCAGTCTGAACAGCCCCAAATCTCTCAGCCTGTCTTCACAGAAGAGGTGTTCCATCCCTCTGATCATCTTTGTGGCCCTTTCCTCGACCCACTCCAACAGGTCCATGTCTGTCCTGTGCTGAGGACTCCAGAGCTGGACACAGTACTCCAGGGGGGGTCTCAGAGCAGAGTGACAGAATCACCTCTCTTGACCTGCTGGCCACGCTTCTTTTGATGGAGCCCAGGATATGGCTGGCTTTCTCAGCTGAGAGTATACATTGATGGCTCATGTCCAGCTCTTCATCCACCAGTACCCTCAAGTCCTTCTCCTCAGGGCTGCTCTCAATCCCTTCATCCGCCAGTCTGGATTGATACTGGGGGTTGTCCTGACCCATGTGCAGGATCTTGTACTTGACCTTGTTGAACCTCATGAGGTTCACATGGGCCAACTTCTTGAGCTTGCCAAGGTTGCTCTGGATGGCATCCCATCCCTCAGGCATGTCAACCAACACCACTCATCTTGGTGTTGTCTGCAGACTTGCTGAGGGTGCACTCGATCCCACTGTGTCATTGATGAAGATATTGAACAGCACCAGTCCCAATATGGACTCCAGGAGAGAGATGCCACTCATCACTGATCTCCATCTGGACATTAAGCCATTGACCACTACCGTCTGGATGTAACCATCTAACCAAGTCATCTACCAAACAGTCCATCTGTCAAATCCATTCTCTCCAATTTAGGGAGGATGATCTGGGGGAGTGTGTCAAAAGCCTTACAGAAGTCCAGATAGATGGCATCTGTAGTTCTTCTCTTGACCACTGATGTAGTCACTCCATTGTACAAGGCCACTAGGTAGGTCAGGCTAGATTTGCCCTTGGTGAAGCCATGCTGGCTGTCTCGAATCATCTCCTGTCCTCCATGTGCTTCAGCGTAGCTTCTAGAGGGATCTGTTCTAACATCTTCCCAGGCACAGAGGGGAGGCTGACAGGTTGGCAGTTCCCAGGGTCCTCCTTTCTACCCTTTTTACAAATGGATGCAATGTTTCCCTTTTCCCAGTCACCAGGGACTTCACCTGACTGCCGTAAATGTACAGATATCATAGGAGATCCTCAAGCATTATGAGGACCTAGTGCATTTTACGAGTTATAATGGAACAGCAACTGATATGGAGGACAAACTGTCTTCAAGTGGCAACTACATAATCCTGGTGTAAGAAGAATGTAATTGTTGTTTCCAAAATGTAGTAGTTGTGACCGGTGACCATCCCCTACTGGTGGCAGATAAAATTGCTGACGGTTACAGGGAAGAGCATTTCCCATCCGGTTCTTGTTCCCTTCCTACATCCAGATGGAGGAAAGTGAGCAACACTCAGTTTAGCTTTGTCAGATGTCTTACCCTTTTGATGGCAGAGCCTAAGAATTGTCCTGTAGGTAGTTGTTGTCTCTCCTTAACCGGTAGCAGTTTGATAGTACTTCACTGCTATTCTTGGTCCACAACTGAGCATTCAGCTGCTCCTCTTGATTAAAAGCAAATAACTAGGATCTTGCCCAATTTCTGGCACATTGAAGTGACCTAATTTGCAGAGTCTGAAAGATGAGACTATTCTCATGATGAATCCCTAAGCTGGGACACCAAAACTGTTTGTCACTTCTGAAAATGGAGTGATTGAACTTTACTTTTAAAGAGTTTTTTAGTTTGCAGATTTCTGCAATCACATGACATGATCTGTTACCAAGTTTTTCTGCGTATGCTTTTAGTATTTCCACACCTTTCCATCCTGAGCCTGTCCCTTCCTCACACACAAAAGGCAACAATTCTCTATGTTGCTGAATAAAATTCAAAGCTGCCTGTATTTATTCTTCCTTAATCATATTCCAGCCAGCAAGCAGTTTTGATGACTAAATTAGCAAAATTATCACTGATAAACAGTGACTTGTATGTATCTGCAAATTGCATAATGTTACCTTAGTGTTTAGAATTACCAAGAATTGTGCAGTGCTAATGGCCTTCCTGGAGCTTTAGGATCAATATGTGAGGCTACCATAATGCTCGATAATCCATTTCCAGCAGCTAAGTATCCTCTTCACAATAGTTTTAATGTTTCCATTTTGGACCCTGGCATCATGTTTCTTTCTGTTCATCGGATAAGAAGAAATTCACCTTGTGAATTGTTGTTATTGTGTTATATTGTGAACTGTTGTGTTGTTATATTGTACCTAGAATTAATTCGTGTCATAACTATTGAAAAATCCCAATAATTGTTAGGGGCATAACTGCTTTAAAGTAAAGCAAAAATACTGTGTGAGGTGATGGTGATTGAACTTGGGTCTGTTAATCGTACACACTGAATGGAATTTCATACTGTAGGTCAATTAGTGCTGAAATCATAACAGTGTTTGTAGGTTCAGGATAGATATCTGTCATTAGTGCAGCTCGTTGTTCTTGTGGGCAGGCATGGCTGTAATCTGGTGAGCATGGTGTCTTTGTGACATATGTGGTTTAGATGGACGTTCTGTGAGTGCTTCTTCCACAGGACGATAGAATCTCATTGTTCCCATGTCAGGCTCAGAAGCTACCAGCACTGTGCTGTCAGCCCTGACTCACACTTCTCTTGCCTTTGTGGCAGCCAGATGTAGTCAGGTGCTGGGCTTTGCTCTCCTCTGTCCCTCACTGTTTTGTTCTCCAGTCAAACCTGTTGGACTACATCCTGCTTTGAAGGATATGCACACCCTGAGGCATAACTGAGCATATCAGTCCTGGGTAACTGCAGCTTCTCTATTCTCCAGGCTGCATTTCGTGTTGCCCAGCAACAGCGCAAAGGAAACAACCTCGTTGTGCAGCCCTCCTTCTCCAGACTGCCACTTGAGCATGACGTGTCCTTTGCTTTCTGCAATGGAGAGCACCTGTTGTGCAGCCAGATCCTTCCTCAAGTTCTTCACCCCTGACATACAGCCATTCCATTCCACATTGTACTTGCCTTGGACTAGGCTGGACAGGCACTGCCTGGAGTGTACATGCTAGCCAAAGAGCCAGGGCCGTTTGATTCCTAGAGTCACAGGTTGCTCTAAATTCCAGCTGACACAAACCCACTGACTTGATCTCTATCATGCTGGCTAATGTTAATATCATGTCTGAAATAAATGAGGCTGGTTTTGCTAATAAAAAGAGGATCCTGTCAGGACAATAGCATTAATAGCATTATTGACTATCCTGGTATGTAAGAGAATTAATGCTCTCAGATAACCTCACACAAAGGTATCATCAAAAGCTTTTATTGATTTGCACAAGACAGTTCTGGTTTGTGATTTAAAGTCTTGATACTGATCTAATGCAGCTTTCCGTGGGGTGCTGAAGCAATATAATGAGTGACAACAGGAATTTAGCTTTGATTTGTGTTCAAGCTGAAAATCCGATGTTTAAGATTTTGGTTGTGAATCTGAAATCCTCTTCTTCTGCTCTCTGACTCTGAATGTAGTATTTCCCAGGTGTCTTAGGCTTTCTTTCTCTCACTCTTCCCATTCTCTCCTTCTGCTTCTTGCACCTTTCTGCTTCACTATTTTTCCTAGTTACTTCTAACACCAGTGTTCCTGTTTGATGTTGGTAAGGATTGTTGAGAAAATATGGAGCTTAAATTCATACCAGAGACCTGAAACTGCAGTCCTATATAAGTAAATAACTGCACTGAGGGATGTCACTAGTTACTTGAAGCTTTTGCACGTGGCTTTTTGCACATCAATTCTGCATAACATATTACAGTAGTCAGCTGCATAGAATTTTCCATACAAATGAGCACATCTTTTGGCTGTCTCCATAGGAAAGAATGAGCGTGGACTCTGGACCATTTTGTCTTCCCAAAGTTGGAAGTGCCATAGTGAGATAGGATGAGCCATCTAAACATAGCATGTTAGATTTTAGTGCTGTCAACTGGCACATCCATTAGTGCCACAGTGATACAATTAAAACCAGTTATAAATGGTTGTCATGGTTAAGTTCAACTGTGCCATCTTTTGCCTATTCTCCCACCTCCATATAGGTTAAATTTGGAAAAGGAAGCATGACTAGTCATCCTACAGTGTTTCTCTGAACTTCCTCCTCTCCTGACACAGTTATTTAGGGACAAAGAGAAAAGTATTAATTCGAGGAAGTGTTTTCTTTTCCTTTACTGGGGACTGAGAAAGGGTACAGATGTGACAAGGTTATGTTCTGCCGAAGTGTGGTAGCACTCAGACATGTCTCTATCTCGAAGACTGTAATATAAAAGTAATGGCACTGACCTTCCTTGTAAAGCCTTGAGACCTCTGCTGTTATGATAAACTAGGACTTCATAAAGCTTTACTTGGTTTATTTTAAATATCTCAGGACCTTTCTCTGAAACCTCCAGGTATATCACAGTAATGTGAAATAGTGCCCTTCCAGTTTGTTCTTCTGTGTTCTCCCCAGTCTCACAAGAGTGAAAACAGGTAACCCTTGTTCTCTCCTCCTAAGGCCATTTAACCCTCTGTGGATCTTCTGATGGAGAAAATTTCTGAGGTTATCAGTGCACCCACAGCATATTGTTCATTTTCTGCCAGTGTCACAGGCAGGGTAATTATCACTAGAACTTGGTTAAAATATGAAGACAGGCAACACTATTTATTCATTAAAATTCAACAAAGAAAATGTATCTCCCCATTGTGCCTTTGATGAATGTAGCTGTTTGTTTGAAAACAAGCATATCCTTGCTAGAATGGGATGGTGATTAGGAATCTGAAGTCACCGAGCTCATGTACAAACTTGCTCTAATGAGGTGCTCTGACCATTTTGGGGAGAAGCAGGAAAAGTGCTCATTTATTTCTAATTTTTAGGAGTTCCAAAAAGCATCAGTAAGCTTGTAATTAGATCCAAACAGACCCCTAGTCTTGGCAGTTTAGTCTAACAGGCTTTAATCAACAATTTTTTGATGATCTTTTGATATGTGGTGGTATGAAAAAAACTTTGGAGGATGCAGATTTCCTTAGTTTGCAAACATCACTGGGCTGCAGAATGAAGTATGTGTTTTCCTTTTCTTTGTTTCTATTTAAAGGGAGAAGGAACGATTCTTGACTGACAAGGAGCCTAAGTTTCCACGCCGCAGGTCTGATGTTCCTCACTTCATCGGAGCAGGCTTTGCACTCAGCAGACCCCTTCCCAAAGTTACAGCTTAGGAATGGACTCATCTCATCACATTCCCATTCCCAGTGTTTTGCTAAACTCTGTTTGTGCTGGATTGTTTGAGAAACTGTAATTTTAAAGAAATTCAGAATCAACTTTCTCTCTGAAATCACTGTATTGCCTTCAGAAAAAGGCATTTTATAGTAGAATTAACATGGTTTTGGTTTAAAAACTGTGGACCAAAACTGCTTGTATAATGCCAATGGAAGCTTGCACTGGTGTAACTTAATAATGGAGACCATGATATTTCTTCTTCAATATTGTGTCTCTATTTAGCACTGTAACATCACAAAATGCCTTAATATGTAGTTATTTCCCCTTTATCTACCTCTGTTGTAAGCACTCCATTTATCTTTTGACTGAAAGCACCTGAAAAAAAAAATGAGAAAACAGAAAAGAATTAAAATTAATAGGCTGATGTTTCAAGCCCTGGTGAGCAAATGCAAAATTAACAAGTCTTTACTTAGATGTACACATGTAGCAGTTCTTTGTGCAGGTAGTATATAATAGGGTTTATCCAGTGTTTGCTACAGTTAGTAAGATCAAGGAAGTTTGCGGCCACATTGTACATTATTAAGAATATGATTCTGTTTCTCTGGTAGACACAAAGTGGCACAATTATGTCTGTTCAACTGGGGAGACTGTACACACTGACTGGGACGTGCTGTTTTCCCACATAAATCCTTCCAAGTGATTCAAACTTGGACTCAAAACATGGCAAACTTTACTCTTTAATTTCTAGACACTTGGGCATTTTTGTAACTTTCAGAAGTTGTTTTTGTAATACAGCAGGAGCCCTCCAACCTTTTCAGCCAAAAGAGATTTAATTACCATTCATTAACAAGTGAAATAACAAAGTCACGGCATGAGGTGCTGAAGTATAGAAAACTTCCAAGCTGTAAAATAAAATGTTTTGAAACTGATTTGTACACGGAAGCTTTTTCCCAGCCTCGGGGATAAAAATACTTGTCCAAAGAGATATGCTGATAAATATTTCACATGCATATAAAAAAAAAACCCTTTGCAAAGATTTTGTTCTTTCCTTTGGTGGAATACATAATTAAATATTAAAGCTACTGTGGGAAACTTTTAATGGAAGTGTTTAATTCAAAGGAATCAAGTTAAATACGACAGGGATCTACTTTGCTTTTACATTGGGGACCAGAACACTTAGTCATCAGATCCATTGTATTTTTCTTTAGCTCCCAAAATAGCTATTATTGCTTTTTCACTGTCAAGTGCATTATGCTAAAGTTATCATTTTAGGGCAGTCATGCTGTCTGAATCATGTCTTTGGTGTACCTGGCATGTCCTTATAGTTAGAATAATTGAGAATAACTGACACGGGCACTTGAATTTGATGAGATCCCAAGTAGGCTTTACTGAAGCTTTTAAAAGATGATATTTGTTAAGAGTACCCAGCCTGCAGCTGGACTCTGCTATGCTTACTGATACTGAGAAGTAATTTGCACTCAAATAAATCATCAAAGTCACATTTATTAATGCACATGAATGAGAGGCACAGTCAGACTCCCAGAATACCATCACACTGTAGAGAAGCAACCTTTTGTTATACTCAACTGTACAGTGTTCCACCTAACTTATCCAGAGTAATCCAAGTCTGTGTACATCTTTCCCTCTGTTACCAGGGTTTACGAGACAAGGTGTTACAGTGGTTAGAGCAAAGGAGGGGCAGCCAAGCAGATGTAATCTGTTCCCTAATTACATGTATTTCTATGACTACACTTACAAAAGAGATTCTTTTCCATCTTTAGAAGTACTTAATAGTAGCTTGCATTGCACAGATTGGAATATTTTTAGGATAAGAAACTCCATCCCTTTACCCAAGTTTTCCAGTCTCTATAATGGGGTGGAATAGTATTTGTCTAATGGCTTGCAAAGGTGAATTCACTTATTTCTAACACGTGATTAGTCTCCTAGATTAAAAAACCAGAGGAATGCAAAAAAAAGGTGATTTTTTTGTACAATGTATTCTTCCTGTCTGAAGGGCTGGGAAGTGAGTACAGTAAATTCCACATACAAAGAACAAGAGCTTTTACTGTGTTCATCCGCAATTTCAGGCATCCAGATGTGAGTGTGTTGGCTACTACCTCCACTTCTATTGCATTATTTACTTACTACCTGGGAAACTAAATTCACAGGTTAATTCTGAAAAAGAAGATAAAAAAGAAGGTCAAGGAAATATAGTCATCAAATTATTCCCAGTAACTTTCAGCATAATCAGGAAAAGAATAACTGCAGCCAGCTTAATTTATAGTGCTAGAGAGTGAAAACCATTTCTGAGTTCATATAATAGAATGGATTAAAGCACACCAAATCCCTTCCCCCTTGGTCTATAAAAGTCAGGGAGCTTGAAAAATTGCTCTGGATGTCTGTGAACCCAGCTGATGCTGAGGTGCTTTTAGTGTTCAAGGATTTGGCTTGCACAGCAGGGAAAGACAGAGCGTTAATGAGAATATCATTTGTTCAGTCGCTTCTGCATTGTGAGCAGCAGCTCTGAAGTGCTTCTCCAAGTTTTGTAGCAGAAAAATGTTAATTGAATTCCAGTCTGTGCAAGATGTAAGCCTGGAAGTAGCAAGTATATCTTTAACTTCTTGTTCTTGTAAAGATATGTGAAAAGATGGAGGCGAAGGGCTATGATCCATGGCACTTAAGTTAGGGAAAATCTTTCTTCACTTTAATTGGTTCCAATTGGAGCTGTAGTAGCTTGCACAGTAAATTTATCCCAGAGTCCCTTTTGGTGAGCAATAATGTTCATTTTCAGAGCTTTTGCAATACATAGATAATATTTTAAGTAACCTCACATTTAACTTAAGCTCTGATTTTGTCTGGCAGGTCTGTATTCATTGTACCATACAAGCAGGACACAATCAAGACCCTGTACACTGAACTATCACGTTCAAAGGCGCAGCACAACCCTTCTGGGATGACTTGTCAGCTACCAAAGACATGGCACAAGAATACAACCCTTAATTTACACTTGCTTTGTGAATTCAGAGCAACAGGAGCACATACTACACACCCGATAACGTGTCCTGCTGCTGTAAATCTGGAAACCCTTTGAGTCAAAAGAGTGAAAACCAGACCACAGCTCAGGGCAGGCAGGAGGAAAGACTGAACACTTGGCACTCACAGAACAGAGGCTTTGCAGTGAGTGGAGCAGCAGGTGCTGGGCCTTGGGGCACTAATGAACATTGATGGCTCTCATTAGCTCCACCTGAGCCCATGGGCACCATTTGACAAGCTCAGCCCCACAGGTGAGTTTCTTGTGCTTTCCTGTCCTTTGAGGGAGCAGTCAGGTCGTGCTTGGACCCAGGCAGTGGGACATAAGAACATTTTTAGTGTCATTTCCTAAGTGTTTTTTAAGAGCAAGCTACTGCAGGATGGAGTACAATGGATTGCACAGGAGATGGAGGTATGGGTGTTGAAAGCTCAAGTTGACAGGAGGAAAGGTTTTTTCCCAAATCCCTGTGGGCAAGGAATTGCTACAGAGGTGTTCAGCTGTGTGTCCTAGTGAGCTGCCTGCAGGTAGGTCACCAGTAAATGTGTGAGTCTATAATGCTAGGTCTCAAGATGCTGTTTAGTTTCCTTGTGTTAGGGTGAAAACGTTGTGTCTTAAAGAAGGTTCAAAAAAAAAAAGCAAAGAGAAATAGATTCTTGGCTTATTCCCCATCACTCATGTGAAGTTACCAGTGGGTAAAGTTAGCAGGAGAGTCAGAAAAGAGAAGTTGGGCAGCCAAAGAAGTTCCTGCCATCTCTGAAGCATTAATGACTCTTCCTGAAAGTTAGTCCATCCTAACTGTCTTTACCCAAATTAGAGTCTCTAAATCACACATCTTTGTATTTAGGCACTTTAGCAATTGAGTATTATTTTCCTAGCAGGTGGTTTAGCTGTTGTGCCATCTCCTCTAGCAGAGTGTATTTTTAGTGTGTTTCTAAAAGCAGGAGTTTGATTTTGATGCTCTTTCTGTTCTGCACTTGTGCGCTTTTTAAGCAGCTCCACGCATATCAGCTACTTACGCTTGTACAGAAAGACGTCAGGATCTCATCCCATGGGCTTGCTTGAGGAGCTTCATTTTCCCAGTGGGATGTGAAGCTGTGCTTGTGCAGGAGAGCAAGACAGGATTTGTAGGATGCCTGCATGTGGTTGAGGTCAAAGCAGTTACCTATTCTTCTGCTCAGCCTTATCCTTCAGCTGGGTTTCAACCTGAATTGGAGCACCTCTATAGGTTTATTGAACCCACATACTTCTAAATCCCTCTGCTGACCTCAGTGGATTTATATGTCTCACCATGGGTGTATAGAGCCACCCAGATAAGTTGGGATGAGTAGGGCTGTGGGAATGCAGCCCTGGGGCTGGAACAAGCTCCAAGCCTACTGAGATCCTCCCCTGCCCTTTGCTGCCTCTCCTCTGGTGAGCACAGGGTGCTGAGCTTTAACCTGGGGTCTGCTCTGACTTCAGCACCCAGGCCTTTGCAGGCAGCCACAGAAGCAAGGCTGGAGGTGAAGCAGCAGTCTTGCCCTCAGTTCACCATGATGTGAAGAGGCTGAGTAGGGGTCTCCAAATATTGAGCATCTGCAGTAATGTGGCCACCCGCAGGGTAGGAGCTACACCATGGCTGTCTCATGATGCAGCTCAGGAGGCAGGTGTCCTACTAGCTGCTAAGTGTGTTGTGAGTGACCACAAGCAGGATGCCCAGGAGGGGATGAGGCATTGAGTTTTGGGGTGAAGGGGAGGAATTGCTAAACTCTGCAGACTGCTCTGAAACAAAGGTGCAGGTAAGCTTTGCTCTTGTGGTCTACCTTGGCTGGAAGCAGCATTTTTCTTAGGCTGTTGCTTCTAATCACAGTGTTGGAATGTGCACCATTGGTGTCAACTCTCTGCAGGTTGGCTGCTGTCAGCCCAGGCTTTGACAGTGTGGGGAGGCACTTCCACAGAAATGGTTTTAACTTGGTCTTTGAGAGGAGCTGG